CGCGTCGGCCTCTGCCTCCTGTGCTGGGCCGCGGCGGCGGTGGGCGCCGTCCCCGAGCCCGGGCTCTGGGCCGCCACAGTCAGCGACGTAAGTGGAGCGTCGGGACCGAGGCGTGGCGCGTCTGGGGCCCTCAGGGCCCTCCCGGGGCTCGCTCGGCCCCCCGGGCCGGGACCCGGGCTTGTTCCTCTGGCCTTCGTGCTGGGCCTGCTCGGGGCGCCCTGACACGCTCCCGGAGCCTATTGTCTGTTCTGGGGGGAGCGCCCCCTCCCCCGGCCCGCCCTGGGCTGTGGGAAGATCGGTCACGCCAGTGCATGGGGTCGGCTCTCCTTTCTAAGCGCTGCTGCTGATCTGGAGGACCACCTTTCCCGCACTCCTGGTCCCCCTTTCTGCCCTGACGTGTCCTGGCTAGATCAGGTCCTCATTTGTTCAGACCTGAGCCCCGAATCTGGGCACTCCTAGCGGCATGTTTGGGATCTGACCCCTCCTCGGGCCCGGCTGCAGCCACGGGGCCACACCCGTGAGGCCACAGGGAGGACGTTCCGGGGCTTCAGTTTGGGCATGAACTTAGAAAGCCCCTGTGCCGCTTTCGGTTTTCCCTTTAAATGAGAAGGGACCATGCGTTAGCCGCTCCCTCTTCCTGGGTTCCTGAATTTCTGTAGGGTTCCCATCACAGTTCCGGGAGTGGTGGTGTGGAGATGGGGCGAGATGTGTGATGGAGTGTTGGAAAGTCCAGTCTGGAGGCATGAGTGTGTGGAAACTTCCTTTCCAGGGCAGGCCGTTTGAGAACTTGGCATCCAGTAGTTACGTGAGATGATGTGGGAGGAATGCAGGGGTAGAATTTTGGAAAATCTCGCTATAGAGGGACAGGAAATCGGGAAGAGGCGTTATCTCCTGCTTTTCTAGAGTCAGCTGACTCATCCAGCTGTTTGAGATGAGTATTTTCCACGCGTATCGAAATGATGTCGATGTTCTCAAGGCAAAACTTATAATTTGATTTCCTCAGTTAGAAAAAGAAAGTAGTGCCAGAGACTACAATACTTCTTACACCATAAAAGCTACACAGACAAATGCAAGTAGGTATCTTTGTGAATGTTTAAGGCCCAGTACAACCATTTCTTCCCGGATTCTTCTGGGTCGGTGCCCCATTATGTGTGCCAGTGATATAGCGTGCATATCTCTGTTATTGAATTTCTCTGAACAGTAAAAAGCAAAACTCAGACAACCACACTCATGGTTTCATGCTGCTTCTGTAGTGAAGGGGCAATATCATAAACGAAGTCAGAATAAACAATATTGGAAGTGAATCAGCTGCATACAGATTATGAAACTACTTGACCATATCTGTAAAGATCTTCGCCAGGTGGTGAGACTCCGAAGGCCATCGAGAGAGAATGGCTTTGCTTCCTGCATGAGGAAGAGAAATTTTTCCTTGGGTCTCACATGATCTTTAGTCCTGTGTGACTCAGGCCAGTAGCAGTCCATGAAGCCCTTCTTTGCAAAGAACAGGCTGATTTTTTCCCATTTCAGGTTGTCAGAACTGTCCTTCAGAACAGGAAAGGAAAGTGGGGCTTGCTTTCTTTTGTATTGCAAATCTCTCCAGAAGTGGTTCTTTTGATTGTAAAGGTCAGCAAATAGTTTGAGCACCTGTTGTGTGCCATGCACTACACTGGCTATTGCTGTTGCAAAGGTGAATTTTAGGCAACAGCCCCTTCTCTCAAGAAGCTCATGCAATAGTAGAACAACAGAGTGATGAGTAGTAATTAGATTCTTGGGTAATTGCTTGAGTAAAGAGTATTCTTGGGATATTACTGGAGCACCAGGAGGGTCACCAATCCAGCTTTCTGGAGTCAGTGCCTGGCTGGATCTTAAAAGATGGATAAGGGGCCAGCCCGGTGGCGCATCGGTTAAGTGCACGCGCACGCTCCGCTCCAGCGGCCCAGGGTTCACAGGTTGGGATCCCAGGCGTGCACCAACGCACTGTTTGTTAAGCCATGCTGTGGCGGTGTCCCATATAAAGTAGAAGAAGATGGGTGCGATGTTAGCCCAGGGCAAATCTTCCTCAGCAAAAAAGAGAGGGATTGGCATCGGATGTTAGCTCAGGGCTCGTCTTCCTCACAAAAAAAAAAAAAAAGGTGAATAGATGTTACCTTGGTGAAGAAGAATGAAGGAGTGGAGCAGCAGTGGTGCAGGGAATTCTTCGTGTTTCTGCCGAGTGAAATTCTGGCAGGAGTGATAGAGGGGACTCAGGTCGCTGTAAGCCTTCCAAGCCTGAGCTTGGCTTTGAACCTGTGGCCAGGGGTCTAACCTCAAGGACCTGTGGGGGCTGGGGCAAGTCATATCAACGAGTGGAGTGAGCTAGGTTCAGAACCGGAGGTGGTGTGTCTAGGTGCGGTAGACTACAGATTATATGCCCCTTTTGGCAAGGTAGGCACATTTTTGTTTAAAGTGAAGCAGAGATCCATATTTTTATTGCATCAACTAATTCAAAACTTTAAAAAAAGGCCCCTTGTGGATCAAACAAATCCCATTTATAGGTTGGATTAGGCCCCCAGGCCACCAGTTGCAACGTTTGGGTGTGAATGAGGGAGAGTCATGGAAGGATTTTAGATATAATGCTAATCACTGTGGCTGCTATCTAAGGATGAATTATAGGCTCAGATCTGGAGGCATAGGTACCAGTTAAGTTATTGCAGAAGTGGAGGCAGGAAATGTTGAGGGCCTGGGTTAGGGCAGTGATGGCAGGAATGGAGAGGAAGAGCTAAATGTGGGAAGTGTTTGTGACGTAGAGTAGGCATGCCTTGGAGATTGGGGGATGGAGATGAGGGACTAGAAGGAACTATGGCTTGGGTGACTGGTTGGCATCACCTACAACCAAGGTGGGCAGTGTAGGAACGGTTGGGGAGGAACAGAGGAATGTTTCTGGTTTAGGGCAGGTTAGTGTGGAATGTCTTGGACATCCCAGTGGACATGACCTTTAGGCAGTTGGGTATGTGGTTCGAAAGCTCAGAGGAGGAATCCAGGCTGGTGGTTTTATTGTTATTGAAACTGTGTTGGGGAAGAGGGAGAGGTTATCAAGAAGAGCGGCCTGTGTCATCAGTGTTTTCCTTTTGTTCCTAACCACTTATTCATTTAACATCCCTTCTCACAGCATTTTTATTCTTGGTGAGGGCAGACGTTAAATAACTGACTGATACGTTATTTATTTCATTTTAATTGTGGAAAGGGTTGTGAAGAAGGCTGGGTCCTAGAGACCATGTAAGGGAGGACCTGGCCTGGTGTGGGCCATGGTGGAAGACTTCCTGAGGAGGGGACTTTTGAACTGGGCTTGGAGGGTAGGAAGGAATCAAGTAAGTGAAGAAAGAGTGACAGGGAAGGGTTTTTAAGTAAGTTTTCAGGTTGACTGCTAAGGTCCTGAGGGCAGGAAGGAGTGTCATGCTTTTGAAGGACTGAAAGAAAGGTAGTAGAGAGGTGAGCATACCTTGATTATGCAGGGTCCTGTAGGCTGCAGTAAGAATTGGTCTAAGTACACAGTGGTAACCACAACACTTTAGGGAGAGGGATGGTTGTTTTATCAAAAGTACAGTCATATAGAGAGAGAGCAACTGCAAATTGCTCAGACAGATCTGTCACAGCAACAGTAATTGTGCAGTGGCAGCAGCCCTGTCTCCTTCGTGTTGCTGGTCCCAGCTGAGATGCTAGGGGCAGGAGCATTCCAGAGCCTCATATTAACTGCAGGGAGTAGGTATGCGGGACAAGGTCTTAAGCAAGTGAGTGATGTGATCAGATATACGTTTTTAAGCAATAATCACTCTGGGGACCGGCCCGAAGGAATAGTGGTTAAGTTTGCACGTTCTGCTTCTGTGGCCCAGGGTTCGTGGGTTCACATCTCAGGCGTGGACCTACACACTGCTTGTCAAGCCATGCTGTGGCGGCGTCCCACTTACAAGGTGGAGGAAGGTTGGCACAGATGTTAGCTCAGGGCCAATCTTCCTCAAGCAAAAAGAGAAAGATTGGTGACAGATGTTAGCTCAGAGCTAATCTTCAAAATCAAGGCTAATCACAAAAAAAAGAAAAAAAATATCACTCTGGCCACAGAGAGGAGTGCCAGGATTAGAACTATATATATTTTCCAAGGTGAAACTAAACTCTTAAACAGTAGAGAAAAAAATTTTTTAACAGAATCTTTTTATATTTCCTTGTTTTTCATTTTAGAAATCAGGACCTTTGGTATTTAGGAAAACTATGTTTAACTCTACTGAGATCAAGTTTTCTGGTAAGTATAGTAAACTAATATACTAATATAACAATATATTATAAATGAGTAATATCATGTAATATATTATAAATTTTTATATTAATTTAATGTAAACTAATATAACATTATAATATATATTATAAACTAGGCAAATATTTTGTTTTTAAGTGGTTCTAACATTTTAAAGATTTCTTTTGTTTCAGTCAAGTCTTGGTTATTTTCAAGAATGGATTTTTCTGATCCTTCTCAGAAAATGTAATATGATCACTCTTTAAAAATTATAATTAAAGTCTAATACAGTAGACTTCAGCAAAAAAGTATTTGACTTCTGTGAAATTTGACTCTGAGTCTCAGCTTTTAAAACTAGATAAATTCCTTTTATGAATATAATGAAATGTCATGATTGTGATAAAATGTTTATGCCCCTGAAAATTTTCTAAATATACACATGATCATAGTATGGAATAAAAATTACTAGACACTGACATTTTTATTAGGATTTTAGGGCTTATGGAAGTGAAAGTGTTTGTTAGGGACTGTGTTGTGTATGTAAATACTGATGTGCGAGGGCTCCCGAGTTAAGGTTTTCAGTATTTTTAGTGGGTTTACATTGGATCATATTTACTGTGATCTAACTCCTCTTAGTGTTTCCAGTAACTTGACTACGTAAGTTGGTTTCCAGGGTTAAAGTTTTAGGATAAGGAGTAGTTTTTTGTTGGGTAGAGCAAATTCCTGGGGATTCAAAGCCATGCCCCTTTTCTCTGTCACACCGTGCTGTGATCATTTGTTGGGTGACTGCCTTATGTGGGCCTTTGCTGAGGGCAGTAGGCCAGCCATCAGCTAGAAAGCAGAGGTGGTTCAAAGCAGCTTGGTGATATCATAGATCATCAGTAATGATAAGAGCTTGGTAAGAGGAAATTGAAGTCCAAGGTGGGTTAGGAAAAAATTTTGGCATCTAATTGCTTTAATGAATTCATATCTCCGTGTCTAGACAAACAAGATTTAAAAACTGGTGCAGACAAAAAAGTTACCTGGGGAAAAAGAAGTTATATGGACCAGTGAAATACAGAATTTGATTAAAAAAAAATCAATATGTAGTGTCTGAGATCAGCTTAGAAGTAGACCACAATTAAGACAGTTGTATTGGGCCGGCCCCGTGGCTTAGCGGTTGGGTGCGTGCGCTCCGCTGCCGGTGGCCCGGGTTCAGATCCGGGTGTGCACCGACGCGCCGCTCCTCCGGCCATGCTGGGGCTGCGTCCCACGTGTAGGAAGGATGTGCAGCTATGACAGACAACTATCTACTGGGGCTTTGGGGGAAAAATAAATAAATAAAATCTTTAAAAAAAAAAAAAAGACAGTTGTATTAACATATCTATAGAAAGAATGAGGCAGCAGAAGGGAGTTAGGAGCAAAAGTATAAAAAAATAAGGATTTAGTCAGGCAAAAGTTGGCAGTGTCCAATAGCGTCAATGGGAGAGAGGTCTTCTTGAACTGTGACTATAGCTGCGACGTGTGGTGGGCAGATGGGGATGCAGCATCCACTTGAGCCTCCTTGTGCTGGGGCCATGCTCACCAAGCAGCCTTCTCATCACCATTGGGCATCCAGGAAGGCATGCTGAAGGGAGAGAGTCAGTTGATCTTTACGTATCCACTTTACGTTACTATTCATTTTAAGTGACTAATTGGGCATTCTAGTTTATATACGACATTGGTGATGTGGTAAAAGAGTGAGACTGAGTAGCTCTGTTCCCACAGAACCAGATTTTAGTGCCTGCAAAGCTAAGAATTGGTACCTTGGATACGTGTCCATGCTGTCTGGTGGATCAGACATCTGGCTTTCCCTTAGGTGACCCCTCTTTTGCTGCCACATTCAAGATGCAATCATGTGGAGCCATTGTTGAAAATCTCTCAATGTAATTCACTATATTAACAGAATAAAAGAAATACACCATATAATCATCTCAATATATACAGAAAAGCATTTGAAAAAACTCAGCACCCATTCATGATAAAAACTCGCAGAAAACTGGAAATGGAAGGAAACTTCCTCAACTTGATAAAGGGCACCTGTGAAAAACCTATAGCTAACGTACTGTCAGTTCTCTCCAGATTGATCTATAAATTCAATTAATTGCAATCAAAATTCAAGCAACTTTTTTTTGTAGAAGTTGACTAGCTGTTTCTAAAATTTATATGAAAATACAAAGGACTTAAAATAGCCAAAACAATTTGAAAAAGAACAAAGTTGAAGGGCTTTAACTATCCAATTTCAAAACTTAAAGCTACGGTAATGCTAACAGTGTGGTACTAGCATAAGGATAGACATAGAGAACAATGAAGCAGACTACAGAGCTCAGAAATAAACCCATGTATACAGGGTCAGTTGATTTTCAACAAAGTTGCCAAGCTAATTCGCTGGAGAAAGGATAGTCTTTTCAACAAATGATGCCAGAACAACTGGATATCCACACTGAAAAAAATAAATCTCAGCTCTTACCTCGGATCATAGACTTAGATACTCTATCCCCACCCCACCTCTGTGTCCTCTCCTTCTGGGGCTCCATTTACACATATGTTAGACTGCTTGATATTGTCTCACAGATCACTGAGGCCTTGTTAATTTGTTTTCAATCTCCTCTTTCTGTATTTCATTTTGGATATTTCTGTTGCTTTGTCTTCAGGTTCAGTGATCTTCTGCAGTATCTAATCTGTTAATCTCATTTAATGAAATTTTTATGTTGGATATTGTATTTTTTTTTAATCTCTAGTAGTTTGGTTCCTTTTAAAAATATCTTATTTCTCTCCTCAGTATTTTCATATTTTCCTTTATGCCTTTGAGCCTATGGAAAATATATATAATAGCTGTTTTCACATTCTTGTCTGCTAATCCCATCATCTTTGTCATTTCTGTCATCTTTATCCTATTGACTGATTCATATCATGGTTATGAGTCAAATTTTTCTGCTTTCTATATCTAGTGTTTTTGTTTGGATGGTGATATTGTGAATTTTACATTCTTGAGTGCTATGATGTTATATTCTTTTAACAACTTTGTTCTGGCAGACAGTTAAGTTTCTTTTGGGTCATTTCAATTCTTTCCAGTTTTGTTGTTAATTTCTTTTAGGATGGATCTGGAATAGTCTTGACTGTAGGGCTAATTTAGCACCACTTCTAAGGTGTGACCCTTCTGTGTCTCTCCCGAATGCTTGGTGTATTTAATGAGGCCTCTCCACTCTGGCTAGTGGAAAATCCAAGTTCCCAGCCCTCTGTGAACTTGGAGAATAGTTGGGCTTCTCCCTATGCATGGGCAGGCTGCTATGCAGCCATAGACTCAAGGGGATCTCTATACAGATTTCTTTTACTCTTTCTCAGCGCAGCTCCCAACTCTTGGGTACTCTGCCCCGGAAATTTTACCAGCCTCGGCCTCTTGAACTTCAGTCTCTGGGCTCAGTTTGGGTTCCCTCTGGTTACCAGCCTTCAAGATGACTCCCAAGAATCCCTGCCCCCTGGTATTCATGACCTTGTGTAATCCCCTACTGTATTGTATCAAGGTTGATTTGACCAATAAAACATGGCAGAAGTAGTGTTGTATCACTTCTGACCCTGGGTCTTAAAAGATAGCATGGCTGCTGCTTTACTCTCTCTCTCTGATGACTGTCTCTGGGGGAAGCCAGCTGCCATGTTGTGATGACACTCTTACAAGAGCTTTCTCTAATTCTAGACTTAATCCTTTTCAGTCTGTCTAATCATGTTACCCTCCTACCTGAAACATTTGGTGGTGCTTTGTAATATCTGATGTAAAGAAAAACTCCTTCGCAGAGAGTAATACCCCTTAGGAATTTTCTTTAGCACTCCTCTCCACCTTCAGCCCTTCTCTGTTCCCCAATCTGTGTTCTGACTATAGCACACTGTTTTCAGGTGGTCACACTTAGGCTGTGCTCTCACTCACCCTGGCCATTTGCATATACCTTTCCACCGTCCTTTTCACCTGGCTAACTCCTGCTCGTCCTTTGTGTTAAGGGTCTCCTCTTCCAACAAGCCTGCCAGTACCTCATTCTATATGCTCTCCTAGACCATGTTAGGTGCCCTGCCTGTTTAATTGTTAGCCTTTTCCTCCCCCAGTACCTTTTATGTCAAGGACAGAGATTGTTCTAGTTTACCATTATGTCACTTCCTGGCACACGAGGGGTGCTCACTCAGTCTTTTGTGAATGAATAACTCAGTGAAGAGAACAGTTTTAGAGTGAAGTAAACAGTGACTTAGCATATCCGGCTACTCAGTTGATTTTAACACTGGACTTAGCGTAGAGATGAAATAAATAGTAGTATAGCAACTTTTGTTTAACTGTAATAATTTAATTTAATGAATTTATCTGTCTCATTTTGCAGTGACTTTTTGGAGAATTAGATAATATTTTACTCATTGTTTCATTAAAGTAGCCTATTTTAAGTTGCATTCTTGAAACCTTAAGTTTATATTAGAGTATATATGTTATTATTGTTATTAAAAGAGACTTTCTTTTTCTAAACAGTTAAGTCATTCAATTGTTCCGGGCCTGTAAAGTTTACCATACAGTGGTATTTGGAGTATTATACCTGTGACAATGCCTATGCTGAGCTGGAAGTAAGTAAAACACAGATTTTTAATGTATGTAAAGCTATGAAGGAAAAATTATGAGCATAAAGATTTATTAGCTCATCAGGTGAGGAGGCTGGAAATAAGACTGTAGTTTTAGAAGTGCCTCAGATTTATTTTGAGACTTAGGCAATAAATCCTTTAGTTATGTCTAAGTATATGCTTTCTGAGAAGAATACACATCTGTTAGTTTCCTTGTCTCTTACGAAAAATGTTAGTAAATGCTTAAATCAGACGTGTAGGAACTGTTGATAAAGAGATATGTGTGTCACATACAAATAAACGTCAATCTAATTTAAGGAAGAAATATAAAAGTTTCACTTCATTCAAAAAATTAGTAATAGGGAACCTAGAACTTTAGTGAGTACAGGTAGATTTAGTGAGTAAAAGTAGATCTCAGAAAGAGGTGAGGATCGGAGACATCGGGGAAAGGAAGGGGAGAGTCTGAGGGGAGGAAAAAGAGGCCGGGCTCGGGTTTCTCCAGCCCCTGGCTCTGGTCCTGGGCCCCTTCCCCTGGAGCATCCACTGGGCTCTTGTGTCCCTTATTAAGGCCTTTTGACGTTTCTCATGATGGTTGCTTGGAATCATTTCCTTTTCAGCTTATCTGTTATCTCTTGGTTCCTAGCTTGACTAATGTGTGGGTTTCCATACATTTATTTGTATTGTCTTTCCATTTGGGGTGAAAGATGCCATTTTCCTCTATACTGCCTTTTTGACTTTATCCCTAAATATTTTACCCCTTCACACTAAATACTTCAGTGTGTATTTCCTAAGAACAAAGATATTCGCTTAGATTATACAGTACAATTATCAAATTTAGGAAATTTAACATTGATACAATACTACTATCTAACAAACAGACCTTATTTAAAATTTTACCAGTTTTCCAGGGCCGGCCCCATGGCTTAGCAGTTAGGTGCTCACGCTCTGCTGCTGGCGGCCTAGGTTCGGATCCTGGGCGTGCACCGACGCACCGCTTCTCCAACCATGCTGAGGCCGAGTCCCACTTACAGCAACTAGAAGGATGTGCAACTACGACATACAACTAGCTACTGGGGCTTTGGGGGAAAAAAAATAAATAAATAAAATTATTAAAAAAAAAAAAAAATTGCCAGTTTTCCAATAACATCCTTTTTAACAGTGGTTTTTTTGGTACAGGATCCAATCCAGGATCACATTGCATTTCTGCAGTGATTTTTTTTTTTTTTGGTCTTTTATGACATGACATTGATATATTTGAAGTGTACAAGCCATTTAATTTTACAAAATGTAATTTATGTCTGATATTTCCTCATGATTAGATTCAGGTTATATTTTTGGCAGGTATACCAGAGAATACTGGTTTGTCCCAGTTTTGGCGATGTTAACTTTGATCAGTTGGATAAGGAAGTTTCTGCTAGGTGTCTCTACTGTAAAGTTACTACTTTTCTAAAAGATAAAAACAACAGAAAACAAACACAGAGAGACAGAGAATGGATTGGTGGTTACCAGAGGGGAAGCTGGGAGGGAGGAGGGTGCAAGGGATGATTAAGCGCATGTGTGTGGTGATGGGTTGTAATTAGTCTTTGGGTGGTGAACAGGATGTAATCTATGCAGGAATAGAAGTATAATGATGTACACCTGAAACTTATATAATGTTGTAAACCAATGTTAGTGCAATAAAAAAAAATTTTAACTTCCAAAAAAAATGTTACTACTTTTCTTTTTGCTATTAACAATAAATTGTGAAGAAATACTTTTGTATTTGTATGTAAATATACTGTTTTTTCATCAATCCTTCTTTTAACATCCTTTAATTCCTGCCTGATGAGTCAGTTGTTACTATGATAATTGCTGAATGGTGATTTTCTAATTCTTTGTTTCCTTCTACATTTATTAGCATTCTACTATGATGATGAGCTCTCTCTTGCCTGTCTGTCAGTCAGTCAGTCATCAGTGTGGACTCATTGATTTTTACTTTGTTATATGGGTTATAATCTATTAGTATTTTTATTTATTTTGCTGAAATTGTCCCTTATTTGGCCAGTGGGAGCCAACTTAACTTTTTCTTGATGACTGGGAGCTGCCATTATGGGCATGGTTTTATTCATCCATCTAGGAAGCAAAGAACCTCAGGTCACTGATGTGTAAATAAGTGTCTCCCTTGTACTCAGTTGGGTTTGCCATCTTTGCTTTATGTTGCTAAGTGTTTGGTTTATCTTTCCTAGTAGTCAAATATTGCTTTATTTCTCTGTAAAATCTTTTATACGTGGGATAAAATGGAGGTAGCTCCAGGACAAAGTATGTTTTATTTCTCGATGAACCATTTCCTTGTGTTAATATCTTAATCACTTTTCTTACTGTAAGATTATGCTTGTATTATGTATTACTTTGTCTGAGCACATTGGAATGGCTACAACGTTATGATCACCTCAATTATACTTAAAATTATATTCAAAACTTTTTTCTTTTCAGTATTTTGTTCTACTGCATATTTTCACTGTTCCATACTGAATAAATTTTTGGTATTATTTAGATATAAAGTTTTACTTCTTGGATAAGAAGTCTGGAAATAAATTATAACATAGAATTTTACCTTGGATAGGAGCTGTCACAAAATCATGACAGTGTTAATAAAGACTTTTGTCATTATTTCAAGAACATCGAATGTCGGACAACAAAAAATGAAAACTTAGATTGCAGCAGTGATTTACAGGTGTTTCCCTCATTGAATGTGAGTATCTGTCTTGCCGTGTTAAAATAGAATTTATTTTACTCCCAGTAAATACAAGCATCAGCTCTAATTCCGTTTTATCAGTATTTTGATAAAGAGAAGTGCTTAATTTGTGAATTTTTAACTTTAGTTCTTTTGTGTGTATGGTAGTCCATAATAAGTAAAGTATTGGCACCATTGTTGTATTTCTTTGTGCCCCTTTGCAGCAGCATTCATGAAAGAGGATCCTTTTATCTTCCTTTCATGATCTGCTGTCACTTCCTCTCTCTTCTGTCCACTCAGTCGGACCTTTGCCCCCATCATTCCATCAAAACTGCTCTAGTCAAGGTCACCAGTGACCTCCGTGTTGTAAAATCCAGTGATCCGTTACTCTTACCAAAGATCTGTCGTCTTACTTGACTTACCAGCATTTAACACACTTGAACACTCTCCTCCTTTATGTATTTTCTCCTTGCTAGCTTAGAAGATTAGATTCTAAAATGTTAACAGCAACCATCCCTTGGTAGTGAGGCCATGGGTCATTTTAACTTATTTTTTGTTCTGTAAATTCTGAAATGAAAATATATCTTTATTAAAAATTTTAGGGGCCAGCCCAGTGGCGCAAGCAGTTAAGTGCGCTCGCTCCCCTGCGGAGGCCTGGGATTTGCCGGTTCAGATCCCGGGTGCGCACTGACGCACCGCTTGGCAAGCCATGCTGTGGTGGCGTCCCATATAAAGTGGAGGAAGATGGGCATGGATGTTAGCCCAGGGCCAGTCTTCCTCAGCAAAACAAGAGGAGGATTGGCAGATGTTAGCACAGGGCCTGTCTTCCTCACACACAAAGAAATAAAAATAAATTTAAAAAAAATTTTAAAGGAGTTGTTTAAAAAATTTGTGTTGAAGTGTAATAAACATATAGGAAAGTGCGCATATCAGAAGTGTACGGCTTGATGAATTTTCAAAACCTGAACACAGCCGTGTAGACCCAGATCAAGTACAGAACATTTTAGCACCTAGAGCCCCCTTTTATTTACTAATACCCTCCCCACCCACAGTAACCACTATCCTTATTAAGGAAGTAATTTTTCAAAAGCAGGATTTTGTTACCATGTTTGGGGTACAATAAGATTTGTTCTCTGGTGTTCAGCTTTCAAATATGTATTTTTTTCTTAAACTATTTTTTTCTTAATTATTAAAACTATTTCCCCATAGAAATGCAGCAATATAAAATGCGTTTTTTTCCCCAGAATAAAGAACTAATAACAAATATCAGAAATGTTTCAAACCAGGAAGGATCAGAGGTGAGTCATTTTATTTGTCTTTAAATCAAATATATACAACTTAGAGTAAAACTGAAAAGAATCTGCTGATGGATGGATACTTGTAGAGTAATATAAAGTAGGGTTATTAGGATTGGGAAAGAAAAAAGAAACATTATTTAAAACAGTATATTTTCTTGCATATGTGTATATGAATTTTGTATATACTTGTTTCTTTGTTTTTTTAAAAAATCTCCTGAAAGTATAATTTAAAATTAACTTCTATATAGCCTTTTTTTTCTTTAAAAAATAAAATTCCACTTTCAGATGCCCAAATGGGATAGTATGTTTCATCGTTAAGGATGTAAAGAAATAGGGCCGGCCCCGTGGCTTAGCAGTTAAGTGCGTGCGCTCCGCTGCCGGCGGCCCGGGTTCGGATCCTGGGCGTGCACCGAGGCACCACTCCTCCAGCCATGCTGAGGCCGCGTCCCACATACAGCAACTAGAAGGATGTGCAGCTATGACATATAACTATCTACTGGGGCTTTGGGGGAAAAATAAATAAATAAAATCTTTAAAAAAAGGATGTAAAGAAATAGAAATCATGAGTGGAGCGTGGGCACAGGGGCGGGGAGGTTGGTATTTTGGGCAAATACCAAGAGTCAGAAGACCAAGAGGTCGAGAGGGTTGGAAGGAGGGTGTAGGGACTGAAAGCAGGTTTAGGAGAGCTTAATGTTTGCTTTTATACTGTGAGTGACTCTTCACATTTCTGCTTTTCTTCACCCATCTTAAAGGGTAGTCTGACAGTGGAAAGGCATTCCTTCTACAGTGGCTGTGATGAACTCTCTCTTGGCTTTGCACAAACTCTGTCGCAGATGGAGGATTAGGAAATGAAGGAAAAGGATAGGAAATATTCAGGACGGAGGAATGTGAAAAGTTTGGTTCAGTTGTGTGGGGGTATTGAAGGCTTCATAGGCATTACAGTGGGCAGTGTTAGTCCTCAGTGGGACTAAACTAGTAACATAATACCCTAAAGAATTTAAATAATTTAGCATATATAATGAATCTGAGTCATTTCTAACAATGTTATCTGACTTCTTCCTCCCTGAGTTCAATTTTAAAAACACACATTGAAAAACTGAATGCTTGATGATATTAGGATAAAATATGGGAAGAGTAATGTTGGAAAAAATATTTGAATGGTAATGTTAAATAAAACGTAGAATGGTAAGATTGGGGGGAGAACCTGTAGAAATGTAAAAAGTAGAAAACATTGAAGAATGGAAAAAGCTTTTTTCTTACTCCATCCCTTTGGGTCTGGGAGGATGGTGGTAAAAAAAAAAATGGAGGAAATCCTTCCACTGTCCACTGTCTTTCCTCTGCCTCCCATTCCTTTTCACTGTATTATGTGCGTTTTTTAAAAGGTACCCAGTTCAGTTACTAAGAGTTGTTTTAAAATGTGGTGAACAAGTGCTTAGCTATATCTTATATAGCAATTAAAAAAAATAACATAAAGGATTTTTTTTTCTTGTTTCAGGATGTGATAGCCAGAACACAGAGAGATGGGTTTCATATCTTTATTGTTTCTATTAAAACGGAAAAAACAGATGCAAAGTGGAATTTAAATGGTATAGTTAAATTGCATGTGTGTTTACAGTCTGCTTTTACTGTATTCTGTATTTTTGTCATTGACTCAAATTTTCTACATTCTCTATTAAAACATTCAAAAATGAATTTCTGTTACAAAAATGACTAATCTGTTTATTTGGAGGACATAAAACTTTATGCTTATCTTAATTATAATATTTATTTTTTTAGTGGATTGGAAATTTAAAATTAAGATAAATTTAAAAAATTTTAAACTTCATAGTAAGATATAAAATTCTCTATCCTTCCAGGTTAAAAAAAATTTTTTTAACATGTAGAAATGGGTAAGCAATGTCTTAATTGTATTTGAAGTAGATTATATTCTGTTCTTGAAAGTGGCCATCATCAGTGGTTTAAAATTTTGTTCTTTGAAAAAAACATTTTTTTAAACCTCTGTCTGTAACCCAGAAGTAGTAGTAGTATGTCCGCTAACTGTGGCTTCTGTCATCTGTGAGCTCCCCTGCTCCTCTCCTGCCAAGGTAGACCCGCTGTGCCTCGTTAAGCTGTAGTCCCTACTGCCCAGTGCAAAAGCGGGCTCACAATAAGCAATTTTCAAGGGAATGAATGCTTTCACATATCCTAGAATTGACTGGCTGTCATTTTCCAGAGTGAGGTCTGCTGGGCTGACAGTAGCCAGACAGCGTGTGAAGGTCCTGGGGATTTGCAAACCGCTCTGAGTCATCCACTGGGCACACAGAGGTAAAGCCAGGCTTTGCCTCTGAGAGGTGCCCAGGCCAGTGGGCAGGCAGAAAGCAGTGAGATGAGACTGGCATTGCTGCAGAGTAGGCACAGAGCTGGGGGTCCGTGGGGGACGCTGGTGGAGGTGACTGCTCTGGAAGAGTGTGAAGTAGGGCTTCCTCCTGGAGACGACAAAATGGGCCAGACCATGCCAGACAGAGGAAGCAGGTATTTTGACGCCATTCTGCCAGCGCCCCCTTTGTGCCCCCTTCCTTCCCAGGTGGCGTGTCTTTTCCCCTGACACCAGCAGGCAGTTTTAAGCCCCTGCTGGTTAGTAACTGGAGTGATTGCTGAGCAGCCCTGCGAGTCTTGCACTATATTTGACACTATTTATTATTCCTATCTCAGACAGTAATCCAAACTTGATAGTCGAGTTCAGTAATTTTTCCCAAGTTACGTTAAGGAAAACAAAGTTCTCAGCGAAGTCAGCGACTCAGCAAGGGGCCAGTCTAAGGCTAGTACTACTTTGCTGTCTGCGTACAATCAGATTTGGCTCAGGTTTCACCACAGCATGTGTACAAGTAAAGGTATCTTGATAAGAGTACATAATCAAACAGCTAGTAATTATCCAATACCACATGTGTGCTAGGTAAAAATTCAGCATTTTTTAGGTTGTATTCTTGGAGCCTTCTGAGAAATTAGCTTACATTTAAAAACTTAAGACCAATTGTTAATTTAATTCTTTAATTTCTTTATCCCTACCCTCACCGTTGCCAGTTTCTCTTTCTATGATGGGGCCTCATGGCTATATCTCTGCTTCAGATTGGCCTCTAATGATTGTGAGTATTTCTCATCATTTTTTCCTTTTTTATTTTTTACTGATTTTGTATCCTAATTGGAAAATTAAAAAATTTTAAGAGCTCAGTGGTGATAATCCCTTAGTAGCTAATGCTTTGACATACTCTCTGTTTCTGGTTCCAGAGTGACTGGAAAATAAAGGATTGGATACTGGAATGTAGAATGTCAACTTTCAAATGATCAGAAGGCTTACCTGACTAAAATTGCTTCTCTTCCTACAGTTTTACATGGTGATGTGTATCGTTTATATTTTATATGGCCTACTCTGGCTGATCTGGTCTGCCTGTTACTGGAAAGATATATTAAGAATCCAGTTCTGGATTGCAGCCGTTATTTTCCTGGGAATGCTTGAAAAGGCAGTTTTTTATTCTGAATATCAAAACATCAACAGCACTGGGCTATCAAGTAAGTTGTGATGGTCTCCATAAATACGATGTGGTCCAGGAGGCTCCTTGCATTTGTGAGCAGAGCTGTGGGAGGTCCCCCTTCGTATAGTGGGCTCCAATGTGTATTGTCTTCATTTTCTGTTTTCCTTCATGCTGACTTTCCCTCACTTTCCTCCTGGGGAAAAGAAAATTCCCATTCCTTAAGGTTCACCTACCAGTGATGGGACTAAAACAACACAAAGTTCTAGACAGGGAACTTTAGGTGCTGCCGATCCTTTTAACATATTTCTCTGTTTTTTCCCCCATCCCCTTTCTTGTTCTTTCTCCTCCAAAAAAGAAAAGAACATTTGGCCACGGGGGTTAAAATCAGTAGCCCTGGGATGAATGGTGCCTGTAGCCTTCTTGCATTCTCTCTGCATCTTCACTCTTGCAAAGAACTTCACGTGACCATTGGAGGCCCCGTCGCAGTCGACACAGTTTACGTGTGAGGCAGAGAGGGCATGTAGTTGGTCATCCTCAGATGTGGGCCCCAGACTTCTAGAAGGTAGATTTCAAAAAGGCCAGAGAAGGAGAGTATGGTTAATTCCATCGCTGAACCTCTGGAAAGGGTGGAAAGTACTCAGGAATGTGCTTCTGAGTGGTCACTTACAAATGATCTTGCTACAGATTTTCAGAGGGGGTGGTTGTGTCTGCTATTTGTTTTAAAATACTTCAGGAAAAAAAGTGAGTTGGAATATAGATGCAACAAATTTGGCATAATGTTGATAATTACTGAAGCTGAGTGTTGGGTACATGGGAGTTCATTCTACTACTTTCTTTATGTTGGGGAATGTTTGTTGTTTCCCAAAATAAAAGGTTTAAAAAGACATGTACAGAAGAATAAATGAAGGACAGACATGCAGGCAGGCATATTAGAGAATTATTACTCTATAAGAAGTTTTAGTGATACTTTTGTGTGTGTGAGCTCTAAACCTGGTAAGGAAGGAAGGATGGGGCTGCTGCTTATGGCTGGGGATTAAAGCATTCTTGAATGTCAGAGAAGGCAGTTCTGCTCCTTTGTTATTAGTGATGGTCATCTCTTGTCTAGAAAGAGTAAAGGATGGCGTGAACTTTTTGTTGAGGGCAGAAAAAGCCTGAGATCCATGAAGAGATGAGAGACCGTGTGCCGTCCCCATGACTTGAAGCCCTCTGTTTGAGATGACACCAGAATAGCTAGGAAGAGAAACCCTAGACTGCTATCAGTGTCTTTGAGGAGTCCTGTGGAAAAGGAGAGATGCCAGAAGGCTGGGCATGGGCCGATGTTGTTTCTGATTTTCCCAAGTGGGAATTCTGTAACCTAGGCTGTCTTGCCCAGCATTGATCCTGAAAGGATAGGCCTTAGAAAAATTTCTAAAAGGATAGGGAACAGTGATTGTGAGGACCCAGCATGAGTACATTAAGAATAGATTGTGTCAGATTAGCTTCTTTCTTTTATGCTACTAGATTGGCAGTTGGAAAATGTAATAAACTTAGTATATATCTGGACTTCTTCAAGGTATTGACAAGGTCTCTTGAGATTTCTTGTAGACAAGATGGAGAAATGTGAACTGAAAACAAAAACAATTTGGTGGATGTACAACTGATTTCTGAATGTCTTTCTAGTTCTCTCCATCTTCACTGTCAGCACTCTCATCATCTCTTACCTGGATTTCTGGAATAACCTGAGCATTTTCCTCAGCTGCAGTCTAGTTCCTCTCCAAGCCATTAAGTAGAGCAATCTTGATAAAAGAAAGCTGTCCCTTTTATTCCAAGCGTCAGCAAACTGTTTCTGCAAAGGCCATATAATAAATGTTTTTGGCTCTGTGGGCCGTACTGTCCCTATTGCAGCTACTCAACTCTGCCATTGTAGCGTGAAAGTGGCCGCAGACAACAAATGGGCATGGCTGTGTTCCAGTGAAGCTTTATTTACAAAAACAAATGTAGGGCCAGATTTGGCCTATGGGCTATAGTTTACTGGTTCCTTGTTTACTATCATTGACTTCTCGCTGCCCTTAGCATCAAGTCCAGACTTGTAGCATGGCCTGAAAACCCTATGTGATTGGTCCCTACCTCTGTCCCTAGCCTCTTTTCTTGACATTCTCTCATTACCCTTTCTGCTGCAGACATACTGAACTTTCACTTCTTGCAGCATATTTTGCTTTTCTCCTCCATGCCTCCAATAGCAATTGCATGTGCTATTTCCTTTGCTTTCCCCTTTCCTTCCCCCAAATAGTTAACTCCTACTTAGCCTTCAAATTCTGATTTAGATGACACTTCCTCTGGGAAGCTATTCTGGACCCATGTGCACTGCATCTCCCTAAATGTTGGTTAGGTTGGCTTTCTTCATAGTCCTGGGAGATACTGTGTTAGCTCTAGCACACACCATCCTAAGTTCTGTCTGTTTACTTGTCCTAACCAGAGTACAAGCTTCCCGAAGGCAGGGATCACGGTGTATCTTTTACTATTATAGCCACTCAGTAGAGCGTAAATGAATAAATGATGAAGACATCCTGGAGAAAAGAACTCCAGAGGACATTATGGTGTTCAGATATTCACAGGACAAGAAGAGGGACATAGTTCTTTGTAGCCTCAAGGGGAAGAAGAACAGAGGGACGCTAAGGGAGACAGTTCCGGTTGATATAAGAAAGCTGTGCCCCAATAGAGCTGAGCGAACACGGAGTGAATTCTTCATGAGATAGTGAATTCCTCTTCACTGAGGGTTTCAGACATCAGTCGGATGAGATGATTTTTAAATCAAATATAGCTAATTCGTCTGAGGTCAGAATGTAGTTGTACATAGTACATATTTAAAATCTTGGTGGCGGCCTTCCAGATGGACACAGAGTGAATTATTTTCTTTCTTCCCCCCCAGCCCAAGGTTTATTGGTGTTTGCGGAGTTGGTATCTGCGATTAAGAGGACGTTGGCACGCCTCCTTGTGATCATTGTGAGCTTGGGGTATGGCATTGTGAAGTAAGTATTGGTGTGTTGAAAAGATACCGAGTCTCCAGTCTTGTGATCTGTTGTCCATGTAGCCATGGGCGTGAGTCTGTAGAAGCTGCAGAGAAGGGCTGTTGAGGACAGGTCGTGGTGGACATCACTCATTCAGGGGGTCCCCAGAAGTCGGAGCCGACTTGACGGCACGTAACAACAAACATCATGATCTCTGTGAAACTGGCAACTTCTCAATAGCATAATACAAATCCCACAGGGGAATATCTGCCTGAACATTTTTTTTTTTTTAAATGAATAGATGTCACAGATTTTATTCAACTCATTAATTAATGAAGGAACCAGTAAAATGTAAAAAAGAACTAAATATTTACAGACAATTGAATAAAGAAAGATTACATTAAGATTGCTGGGTTGTATACAAAACTGGTTACTGTCCTATGGGCAACAAACTGTAATCTTTGGGGTTATCATTTCCACTGAACAGAAATTATTTGCATCTCTACCAGGCAAAGATCTATCAGCTAGCCTGTCACTTTACGACGTCTGAGATCTTTAATCCGTAGTAAACAGTGAGTTGGACGAAGTACTTTTCCTTCTATAATCCTTGCGTGGCTTTACCCCCATATGACATTGAAATGTTTTTGCCTTACATCCAAGTTTTATATAATTTTTGCCTGAACATGTTTTTAAAGGATCTCCATGTACAGTCATGCGCTGCCTGACGATGTTTCAGTCGACAGTGGACCGCATATATGACCGTGGTCCCATAAGATTAGCACCATACAGCCTAGGTGTGTAGTAGGCTGTCCCATCTAGGTTTGTGTAAGTACACTCTATGATGTTCGCAAAACAGCGAAATCGCTTAGTGACACGTTTTTCAGAATGTGTTCCTGTTGTCAAGCGACACATGACTGTACTGGCTATTTTATACTGTCCTCAAATAAAGATCCCGAATTTGAATTCTAGTGACGTTTTATAGTTGGATGAATAAATAATCAACTTTAAGGATAATGGAAAATTTAAAATGATTCTGGAAGTTAAACCATTTTCTGTTTCCTAAACAGCATAGTCATGCTTTTGTGACTATATCTGGGCATTGTGAGGGAGAACATAAACGCCAAGTCAGCAAAATTTTTGACTGAAATCTGGCCGTCTCCTGAATACCTGCTTCTTCTGGACCCTCTCGAGCAGATCTTTTCTCTCATACCTGAGTCACTGGGCGTGGATATGGGAGAGCTTGTCCTCTTTATCCTCATTGCCTTTTTCAGACCGTTCTTCTTCCTTCTTCCCTAAAACCCTCTGATTCTTGGAAGCTCAGGCCTTCAGACTGGACCACTGCTTCATCTTCTTGTTGCAGCCCCCCGTCAACTCCAGATCTCTCCGCTCATCCCTTCGCTCTCTGAGCACGTGCTTCACTGTCTTTCTCCTCAGCACTTCATCTGTCAGAATTCCCTGTGATTTCAGTATCCGTGTGGATGAGCCTTTAAATAACCTGATCTTACCTCCTCACCTCTGCTGCTCTTGCTTGTCACCCCAACTCAGCTACTGATTTCCATGGCTGTTCTCTAGGCTTTATTATTATGACCCTGCACCCTCTTCATAATTGCCACTTGAAGCAATCCACTTTTCTTTCTTCCCCCGCAGCCCAAGGGTTATTGGTGTTTGCAGAGCTGACATCTGCGATTAGGAGGACGTCGGCACGCCTCGTTGTGATCCCTCTGAGCTGGGGTCACCTCCACTGTCACCTCCTCTCTTTCCTGTTTACTTGCGCTAATGTGTCAGCTCCAGTCATTCTCTGACCCTGGTGTGGCCTCCCGCCTTTTGATCCATCTGCCTTCCGCCGATCCTCCCCTTCTTCCTTTAGCTTATACTCCTGGTCCAGCAGGCTACTCACATCCTTGCATACACCTGCAACCCTCTGCCTTTCCCTTCGTCAGCCTCCCTGGATAAATCCAGCTTCCCGTCTGCCTCAGACTCACACCTGAGCAGCGGAATCTGCCCGAGAAGAACACGCGACCACACTGCCCAGGCTCGTTTCACTTCGTGACCCTGTACTTCAAGTTCGCCATTGTTCCTGCTGGCAGTTCTTCTAGATCCCCTTGTCGATTTATGTTCTCACTCGCCCACTTTGCAGAAGACCGTTTCACCCCTTCTCTCTCCTCACGTCTCCGATTGCCTGCCTTCATCCACCTCAGCTCATCTTGGTTCTTTTCTCACTGAGGAAATAGAAGCTGTCAGAAGGGAATTCCGACGCGTTCCCACCACAAATCTGTGTCACTCCCCCCACATGTGGACCAGAAGCAGTATTCTGCTCCTCTCTGAAAGGCACAGACCATCCCTGCTCGTGGTGAAGTCCTGCGCCTGGCCTTGTGCTCTGGATCCTGTTACCTGTCATCTGTCAGAGAAGCTGCCCCAGCAGCCGGTTCTGTTTTCTGCTGGATCATCAGTTTTCCTCTCTGGTGGGTCACTCCCATCAGCAGGCTGTCCTTTCTGCCCTCTTCAGAAGCAGAACCCTGCGTAATCCCGCGTGGCCCTCTCCTCCGCTTCTGCTTCATTTCTCTTCACCCCTGAGCAGCATACTTTTTCAAATGAGTTGTCTGTACTTGCCACTTCAAAGTCCCTCATTTTCTTTTGAACATACCCTAGTGAGCTGCTGCCCCATTTCTCCACTGAGGCTGCTCTTGTCAAGGTCACCTTGACCTCTCCTTGCCAAATCACCAGCCTTCGTGGAGGTGCCCCGTCAGCAGCTTTGGTGGTGGAGCCCTGGCTGCTCCTTCCCAGTCTCTGCTGGAGCCTCTTGGTCTTGCTGAGCTCCAGCATTGGAGTGCCCAGGCTCAGGCCCCAGACCTCTGCTCTAGTGACTCGCACCCCTGGGCACTCTCGTCCAGTTCCATGGCTCTAACTTCAGAACACATCCAGAATGAACCTTTCCCGTCCCTTCTACAGCCTCCACCCTGGTCCAAGCTACTATCTTCTCCCGCATGGACTACCTTAGTAGCCTCCTGACTGGTCTCCTTGCTTCTCCCCTGGGCTCCTGTCAGTCTTTCCAGACACAGCAGTGGATGAGCCTTTTAAAGTGTAACTCCTACCACTATCCCTTTCGAACACTCTGCTCCGTCCTGCCGGCTTTCTTGCTATTGCTGTTCACTAAACACAACAAACACTTCCTCACAAGGCAGTAGAGCCTCTGCCTGTGAGCCTCTTTCCCCAGATCCCGGGGATAGTTTGCCCCCTCACTTCTTTTAGATCTCTGCTCCACTGTCGTCTCCCAGGGAAGATAGCCCTGTCAGGATTCCTAACGTAGTGCACACCCTTGGTCACTCTGACCCCTCATCCTTTTTACAGGGCCTCTTGATTAGTATTTGTTGTCTTTTCCCTCCCATTGAGTGCAGTAGGAGCTTTCCCTGTTTTGTCTCCTGCTTTACGCTGAGACCCCAGTGCAGTCCCTGGCACATAGCACGCACTCAGTAAATATGCATCAAATGCACGCATGTATGCTTGTGAGCTCAGGATTCATGTAGTTAGCAAGATTTAGCCAGGAAACTTTCTTTTCATTGGAATTTTATTGAGATTCCTTCTCAAATCCCTTTTTTTGTGGAGGGGGTAGGGCTTAGTACGGATACAGAACACAAAACCCTCTTGTGGAATCTTGTGGTACCTCATGATTCTAGTGATGAACATGGGGTGCCGAGGTGTGGAGTGTGGTTGCTGCAAAAGGAGTGAAAGGTTGAGCTGATGTGTAAGGGCACAAGCCCTTTTTGAGTGAATCCCTTCGCTGTCAGCTTGTTGTATTCAGCTCTTACAAAGCGGCAGCAGTAATACCGGCTGTCGGAGGGTTCCAGTTAGCTGGCTATAATGAATCAGAATTTAGATTCACTAAATTAGATAAACAATCTTAAATATGAGCTATGAATATTAGTTTAATTTTTACTTAGATTTTGTTTTAAAATGAGTATCTTAAGTATTTTTTCAAAACCAGTTTTTTCTTCTAATTAAGAGGGTTTTTGAATTAAAACATATGTACAATAAATTCTGATTTGCAAACGTCATGAAATTTCGGTTCTAGTTTCAAATTATTAATTGCAAAAATCACCATCTTTGCATTTTCCCATCTCATTGATATTTTTAAAGAATCAAAAATGTTATTTTAATTCTTTTCAATTTAAAGAATGAAAACTAAAGTCTGTTAGCACTCTCATTTTGTGTATTAAGAGGAGGGTAATGGGATTCCATCTCCTGATATCCTGCTCGATCTCTGCCAAAGTCGTAAACTCAGTAGATGGTCTCTAACAAAACATTTCTCAGAACAGTTCTTAATCAATGTTAGTGAAAGAATTAAATTATTGTTTTGCCAGTGATGCTTAGAAGTTGGCATTTACCTTCCTAGGTTTCGTCAGTCTTCTCTTCCATTCTGTGGAAGTAGCACCTGGGTTATGTTAATTATGTTGCTTAAATTTCAGCGGCAAAATTCTCCAGCACCTGTGTGGCCTCACAATGTCGCTTCATGGGCATCAGTATAGCTTCCAGTCTTAGAGAAGGAGGCCCCTTTATTCTAAGCCTGTTTCTGCTTTGTTTTCAAGAAATACGCTGTTTCCTGAAACAAAGTACCTTGGAGACAGGCGCAGACTGATTTGATTAGATAGTAACTTCTTGGCATTGGAAATGGGCTTGTATTGTATTCAGATGCATTTTACTCAGCCAGGCTCTCTCTTTTTCTTTTTGTCTGTTTCCTCTTCCTCATTCCAGGCCCCGTCTGGGAACGGTCATGCACCGGGTGATTGGACTAGGGCTTCTTTACTTCATCTTTGCAGCTGTCGAAGGCGTGATGAGAGTCATCGGGGTAAAAACTACACAATTCCACTTCTCCTCTTTTTGTTGTTGCTGTGAAATACGATCTTACTTTATATCGCCTGAGATGAGCTTTTAAAGTAGAAAGTTTATGAAGAAGGCCCAATTTGAGCTTTTTTTTCCTGTGGAATATTTTCCTTTTTTAATACTTCCTGAAATTAAAAGGCTAAACAGAGCACTTCTTAAAATGATATGATTGATTATGAAGGCACCACTTGATGTCATTTCAGGAATTAGCTTCATCTCAAAAATATTCATGGTTATTCTTTATAAAGAACGTTTTGTCTTTTGTCATTATGCAGTCTGAACACATTCATTTCTTCCCTAACCCTTGGCTTAAACATGTGTAAGTAAACAGAAAGTTAATTACAACCCTTACACATACAGACATTATATCTCATCTCTCTTAAGTCTCATTTGGTTATAAGTTTTCTCCTTGACTTGTGGAAATATTTTGGGTATTCAGCAGAGCCCACTCTTGGAAGAACAAGGAGGAGGTAGTGTTCAAGGGAAAAATGACTCTGGCAATGTGGCAGCAGTGCTTTGCTCTCTAGAGAAGAGTCAGAATATTTAAGTCTGTGAAGACTCCTAGATTTCTAGCTCTCAGTTTTTCTTAATAATATGGTTGACAACTGAGTGATTAAGAAGCTTATTATATTTTACTTGATTCAAAGAATCTTGTGATTTTTACCCAAAATGACTTTTGGATTAGATGTATAAATCAGATCACTGTGCAGAGTGGTTAATCTGTATATTGCCATGTCAAGTTTACTTCACATGTTTTGACCTGATCCTTAAAGCAGGACATTTGTCCAATGACGTTAAAAGCCTCATTCTTCTTCCTGTTGACCTTGATACATCTGCATTCTGTGTTAGATACACCTGCTCTTTTCATCTTTGATCCATTGAAAGGTATTATTTTTACCTTTACATAATAATAACTCTGCATTTATGTATGTAATTCACAAGAGTCTAACCTTTGCTAGAAAGAAAATAGAAACGATAAATATCCCGCATATAGATGTAGTATATACATTTTATTTCCTTAAAATTTTACATAGTCAACACCTTAGATACACAGTAGTCCTCCCTTATCCGTGGTTTTGCTTTCTGTGGTTTCAGTTCTGCAGTCAACTGTGATTCAAAAATATTAAATGGAAAATTCCAGAAATACACAACTCCTAAGTTTTAAATTGTGCGTCATTCTGAGTAGCGTGATGAAATCCGGAACTGTCCTTCTCCCTCCCACCTGGGACGTGAATTATCCCTTTGTCCAGTGTATCCATGCTGTATGCACGCTGCCCACCTGTTAGCCCGTTAGTTAGGAGAAAACATAGTATGTATAGAGTTTGGTAACTCCTCGTTTTAGGCGTCCACTGGGGCGTCTTGAAACGTATCCCCTGGGGATAAGGGGCGACTGCTGTAACTGTTTTACATATGATTCTCTGTCAATTCTTGATTAGTTAGAGTGTCTCATCTGTGGTTTGTTTATACTGTTCCACGCAATTCCTTTTCCTTATTTTACTTTTCTCCATGTCCCTTCAGGTGCAGGAGGAAAGATCAGGAGTCCATTTCATTAGTGGCCTTGGCTGTAGACTTGGTTTGGAGAGGGGAGAATTAAAAGAGTTGACCTAAGTGGGACGGGGGACATGATGCTTTTTATTTGCCATTCCATGTACAATTTTACCTTATCATCAAAGAATTTGTTGACAAATTAACATATGTTGCTGCCAAAACAGATACTTTCCATGTGCTTAAACACAATTCTATTAGGAAATAAAACCCTGTGTGTGGCTTTTGTAAAGTGGTGAGATGAGCTAAATTGTTTTTCTTCATTGGATGATAATTCCTATAGTATAATGAAACTTTTACATTCAAGTTTTTTTTTTTCCTATTTTTATCTTTTAGGGTTCTTACCATTTAGCTGTTCTTTTGGGTGACATTATTTTAGCAGTTATTGACTCCATTTTTGTATGGTTCATATCCTTTACTATGTCCTTCTAAAGTAGTTTGTTGTGTCATTAAAATCAGATTATTTTTAATTTGTAATAATAATAAAAGAAATATAGTTGTCCATTATTATTACCTCAATATAGGAATTTAGTTGAGGGTGAAAAAGTAACAGTTCCCCAAACAAAGAATATCTTTATTTTTTTCTGTTTAGTTCAGCAAACTTAAGTGCTCAGTATGTGCCCCATAGTGAGGAAGCGTGGAAGAAAAAGATATTGTCCCTGCATTTAAAGAATTGACAATCTGGTAGGGGAGACAAAAACATAAGTAGGAGCAATATGGTAGTTGTAATTGCCATTTTAGAGAGGTGCCGTGCAAAAGGGAGGAAAGAGAGAAATTAATTCTAGCATAAAAGTCAGGAAAGACTTCATAGAGATGGTAACATTTAACTTGAGACTAGGAGAACAAATAGAGGTTTAGTAGGAAGAGAATCGGGGAAAACATCTCTGAGAAGAATTGAGGGGAACAAATAGTTGGAAGCATAAAAATATAGGGACAGTGGCAGAATGTCCCAGACATTGTAGCTTGCCTGTAGGTGAACATGTTGGGAGAATCATGGAAGGTGGGGCCAGAAGGGAAAGATGGAATGACACGCTCAAGAGGTTAGAGTTCCTTCTGAAGGTAGACAGTAGAGAGGAATTGAAGCTGCACAGGTGAATAACATGAACTCTGTATTAGAAAGAAGTCAAGGATGACATAACAAGATGACTTGGAAAAGGAGAGACTAGAGACAGGAAGACTAGTAAGGAGTCATTTGCAGTGATTTAAAGAGGAGATGATGAGGATTAGAAATAGGGCAGAGGAAATGGAAAAAAGACTCTAAATGATAGGCTCGCTAGAAATGGATGGCAAAAGAAGGGAGAGAAGGCTTCAAAGATATCTTGCCTGTCTCATTGTGGTGGCTGGGGGCAGTCTTGCTATCCTCAAGGCAGTGAACTTGGAGAAGGGGCCATAATGGATGAGGTTTGAGCTGCCCAGACATCTTAATGTCTTCTCTTCTGTCATTGTGTGTTTAGTGAGTGAGCTTAAGATATCTGTTCAATTTGGAATTGTATTTCTAAAATTTTATAAGCTTAGAGCCTTTAACAAGTTAGAGTTATGTTCGTCAATCAATTAATGAGCTGTAGACTTTGCATTTAAAAAAAATCTGTGTTAGGGGGCCGGCCCGGCGGCGCAAGCGGTTAAGTGCGTGCGCTCCGCTGCGGCAGCCCGGGTTTCGCCAGTTCGGTTCCCGGGTGCGCACTGACGCACTGCTTGGCAAGCCATGCTGTGGCGGCGTCCCATATAAAGTGGAGGAAGATGGGCATGGATGTTAGCCCAGGGCCAGTCTTCCTCAGCAAAAAGAGGAGAATTGGCAGATGTTAGCTCAGGGCCGATCTTCCTCACAAAAAAAAAAAATCTATGTTATCTTTTCTCCTGGTAATTTAGGTATACATATGTCAAAAATTTCTTGTTCTTAACCATCCGCAAAGCAGTTCATTGGGGAAAATACTCAGTAATACAACTTGGCAGAAAATTCCAGAGAAAAGCGGCTGTAAAGGCTCTAGTTCTCCATCTGGATTTGAATGAGGGTAATTTATCACCTTTGTGGACAGCATTGGCTTTGGTCCATTCCAACACATAATGAGCCAAGCTGGGGTGAAGAGATAAGGAAAACAAGGTGAAAGATTTAGTTTGCTTATTATTAATATTTTTAATAAAGATGTTTAAGATAGAAGTCATAAATCCAGAAATTAAAATGATCTTGGTTAGTGTTTCATGGTGAGAGAAAGAAATTGAGTATCCATTTCTGCTTGAACCTGAATTTCTGACGTTTGCTGTTAGATTGCTATTTGGTAATTGTCATTACTGAAATGAAAAGTCTGCTTTCTCTGTACAGAAAGGTAGTGGACTTCCCAAATGATTACCAATGATAAACGAAAACAGCAGCACTACATTATGTATGGAATTGAGTGCTTGGATAAGGACCTGCTTCCTTTGATTTTAATGAACTTATGGTAGCTAATTCTTTAAGGATCTCGTTCTAAAGTAATAGAAAAAATAGCCTGAAAAATTCAAAAGCCATAGCCTTTCTCATGAAACCCTGCCAGCTCTTTTTTTCTGCTTGTTTGTTTTGTGTTTTTGCTGTTTTGCTGCAGGCAAATGATTCTGATCTTGTGCTCCTGGCCAGTCTCCCTCTCTGTCTCCTTGACTCTGGCTTGTGCTGGTGGATATCCTTTCCTGCCACAGCAGCGCTGCCATGCTGCTTCTCGCTTCAGGATGACGGACCTGTTTGCTTTCCTTACTACTTTCCTTTAACGGGAGAAGTGATTTACGCTTTACCTAAGTTTAGCAGTGTCTTGGTAAGTGGAGGCTTAGGCAGTTTTGAATTTGCTTTTGATCTTTTTATTCCTTGGCTTTTAAAAAACACTTTTGAATGATTAAGATTAGATTTTTAACACAGAAAATTGGTTTTAGTCAAGAATTTTTAAAAAGTATTTGTCTTGGTAATGTTTAAAGAATAAAGCGTACTTGCATTTTTGGAAATTCTGAGAGTAGCCTTAATTGGTTGGATTGTGTTATTTTACAAATTGATCTTCTTTTGCAACTTACTGGTCATTTGGAAAGATTAAGAAAGCAGTTTTGGCAGTTTTAGTACTAAAATGTAGTTTTTGATTAATGAAGTATTTGGAATTTAAAATAGGCATAAATGCAAAATTTGCCACTTCCATTCTTTGGCTCAACTCTGTTATTTTCAGCGTGTGGTTCATGAACAAAGCTTGGTGATTGTGCTCCAGAGGAAGCAACTCCCGTTCACCAACAGAGAGCTGTGGCCTGAATCCCAGCTGCAGTGCTGAGGAGTCAGTGGAGAAGCCCCTTTTGCTTCTTCATACTTGTTAATGTTGAACTTGACCTGAGCCCTATGCTCCTGGAAAACAGCCATGGTTAAGAGAACCCGCACCCTTTCGTGTTCCGGGAAGAGGCTGACTACAAAGAACCCTCCTTCCCCAAAGGACTTAGCTGAGACTCCCGGAGGCCCCGTGGTTTACCTAGGACACGGCCAGACACAGACCTGTGTACTTGCTGACCAATCTGGGCAAAATACCAGACTGGACCAAGGGAAGCGGTCTCCTTCTCCCGGGTCCCTGAGCTTTCATCACCCACAGCCCTCCTTACTGACCTCTCCTGAGACTCTCACCCCAAGGAAGGTCATTTCCTGGTCAGTCATGCCCCCCACTTCCCTACACCTTCTGCTTTCTACTCTTGTTTACGCCTCCCTGTGAAAACGAAGCCCTTTCCTGCCTGACCTTTGGACTCATGCAGATCTTCAAGTCAGAACGTCCTCCCTATTGCAGTAAGCTTTTGAATAAAGTCTCTCCTTACCCAAGTCCAGATTTGTTTTATTTGACATATTTCAGTTTTTTATTTTTTGGTTTTTTATTTTATTTTATTTTTTAATATTTCAGTTTTTTAATTTATAAAATGGAATTGATAGATGACCTAACTTCTTAGTTATGGTCATTTAGAAGATAAAACGAGAATAGACTGGAAAGAATAAAGTAAGAAAGAAAGAGAGACAGAAAAGTATAAGCCCCATGGCATGTCGTGATGTGATCTGTAAAGAGCGTCTGGCCTGAGAGGACTTGACAGTAAGTGGGTGACTCCATCCTGTGTTTGGGGAGCTTGGCACTGAAGGAGCACATCATAGATCTTCTTGCTTGTGTGTTTTCTTTGAAGTTTATTTAGTTCAGAGAATGGTAGATTGTAAAGCAAAATCTGTGATAAAATCAGTACCATGATCATACAATATTGGCTAAAATAATGTTTTCTGTGTTTTTATTAACTTTAAATTATAAGAACTGTATTTAACAGTACTAGTTTTAGAAGTGTAGTAGAAGACTCTTATTTTGTTTTTTATTTTAACTGTTTATTACTATTTGAAATGTTTTTCCTTAACTTTTTTCACATTTTTATAAGTTTGGCACAAACTATGAAGACTCTAAGGCTAAGAAAGAACACAGTGAAATTTTCTTTATACAGGCACTTTACAAATACGCTCATCTTTGCCGTACTGGGTAAGCTATTTAATTTTCCGTATAATAAATTATTTCAGTATTGCATCTTCCTTCAAAGATGGCTTTTTTGGTGTGTTTCAGCTTCTGTAGTGTTTATGGTGTGGACAACTAAGACATTTAGAATTGCAAAATGTCGATCAGTAAGTATAATCTCCGTTTTTAAATAGTTTTCATTTTTATTTATACTATTTTATTTTGTGTAATTTTGAAGACTTTAGTTTGTGTTTGTAAATAGAAGTAGTTTTAGTGGAGATTTTTCTGTTTACTTTGAATTATTTTATATAGAATTATAAAAACTTTTGCCTCCTTTAAGTGAATCTGAAAAAGTTCTTAAATCTACTTTTCCAATTATGCCCTTTTCTCCACTTCCTTTTATATATTTTGAAAAATAATTCTCTCCCTATAGAATTTAAGGTAACAGGAAATCTTTTTCTTCCTGCATACCATGAAATTGGGTTGTCTGTCTCTAAATAGAACTGTAAACCTTAAAAGTCTGACATGTTTCTAGGATGGTATACTCATTATGAACATTCAGGAGATACTCTCCATGGGTTCTCTAGTTAGAAGAAGATACATTTCTTAGACTTAAAATACGAAAGGCCCTCTTTTGGGGGCTTCTTGATTTGGAGCTAGTCTCTAGTTCTGTATAAACAATTACAAACAGCCCTCTGAAAATCCTGGACTTCTGCTGCCCTGGGGATAATTCAGTGAGAGAAGAGACTGAATGTTCCTTTTCTTCCTTCCCTCAGGTTAGTATTTTTCACTTGGAATTCTAAGAGTATCTTTTGGATTTTTATTTTTGTTTTCTAAATTTTTCTGTTAACCCTAAAATTTTATGGAAGAGAATGTTTATAATGTTAAACAGCCCTTTAGAAACATTTCAAGCAATATATAGTAAAATCTCCTGTGTTACTAAAAGCAAGATAATCTATTGGGAAAACTATTGCATTGAGATTTTTGCGTCAGAGGTTCTAAGGTCATCAGTGTCAAAAATATCCTTTGTCAGCTTGGTTCTAATTCTGCTATTAACCTGCCTCATGACTGTTGTCCTCTAGAAAATAGATTAAATGACCTCTGAAGCCCCTTTTAAATTCTAATTCTTTTTATTATGATACTTTACAATTTATGTTAGGATTTTATTCATCTCATTGGTTATAAGGCTGAAATAAGCATTAATGTTGATTTTATAAAGATAGCATTTCTTAATTTTTATGTTTCTTGAAAAAATATGTCCTTATTTATTTGGAAGTTACTGACTGGAAAGATTTCATTAGCACTTGTCATTGTACACTATTTCAATGGGAAATCTAGATGTTTATGTTGATCAGAAAATTAACTTTTCATGTTTGAATTGTCCTTATTATAGGATTGGATGGAACGCTGGGTTGATGATGCATTTTGGAGCTTCCTTTTTTCGCTTATTCTTATTGTAATAATGTTTTTGTGGAGACCATCAGCAAATAATCAAAGGTACCTAGCGTAGGAAAATTCAAGTTTGGCAAGAGTTTGTTGATCACCTGCTACAGTGCTAAAAACGCATTTACGGAAGCTGTGGGGAAGTAGTCCTTGCTTTTCAAGGGGTATACAGTCAAGTAGGAAGACAGACATAACAAGTGCAAGACAGTGAAGTAAGAGATGTGTGAACCAAGTCCCGGGGAAGACGGAAGAGGGGTGAGGAAGGCTCCATGAAAAGGCAACGTTTATATTAGTTATGCCTGAAGAAGGGAGCAGGGCAGTGAAGACTGAGCTGGGAAAGAATGTTCGTTTTCTGGGGTAGTGGGAAAAAATATGGTGTACTTTGGAGGTCATTGAGGCATGCAGTTTGGTTAATAACCACTTACACTGGAGGGATATAATGCTGGAAAGGAAGGGTGGGACCGAAATCCTAAAGAGCTTGAATGCTAAGTTCAGAAGGTTGTGCTGTCGACTGCATGTGATAGGAAATCCTGCATTCCCTTGCCTCATTCCTCTTCCCCAAGGAAAGTGCTGGGAAGTTTCTTGTACTCCCTTCTAGGAGAAAATGAGAAAGTATATACCAGTGTGTGTGTTTCTCCCTCTTTTTTTAAAATCATACAGTAATAATAGTACATAAATACATATGTACACTGTTCTGCACTTTCTTGTTTAAGGTGTATCTTCCCATATCATCTTGTATAGATCTATCACATTTAATGGCTATATGGCATTTCAGAATATGAGTGTTGCATAATTTATATAAGCAGTCCCTAATTAACAGACACTTCCTTTCTAGGTTTTTGCCATTATCAACAATGCTTTTTGAATGCTTTTGGACCTAGTAAATGTGGCAATCAGTGTGCTTTATTTTCACCAATCAGATTAGCGACTTCTGTTTCATCAGGGGATAAGCGAAAAAGTAGTGGGCAGGCAGGTAAACGTGACCCAGAGAGAAAAGTACAGCAGAAAACTCCCTACCCTGAACATTATATATTGCAAAATTGCTTTCCAGAAAGATTTGATCCATTTATGCTTTTGCCAACAGGGTTTGGGAGGTGCAGTTTCATAGCTTCTTCACAATAATCTTTGCTAATTTGAGAGTAAAATGATTACATTTTTATTGTTTTAATTTATGAGAAACTTTTAAAATGTAGGTATTTTGGCGTGCAATGACTTTTTAAGATGTAAACGGAAAACTGAACGGATTTAAACACGCTAGTAAAACTACTCCTTGTTTTTGATATAGATATGCCTTCATGCCCTTAATAGATGATTCGGATGATGAAATTGAAGAATTCATGGTAACATCTGAAAATTTAAGTGAGTGATATGTTTTCTTATTAAATGACCATTGTATGTATTGTAACAGAAATATTGTACCTTTATTGTGATGCAAGGTCACATACATTTTTTTCCTATAAAGTATTTTTAAAACTGTATCTGCAGAAACCTGTATTACGGTAGGCAGTCACAAAAAGAAAAGTCAGTAATGAAATTTTTGAGATTGTTAATGTAGTTTGAGCTTTTGTTACTTGTTTGCTCTTAAAGTCTGAATATTGAGGTAGGTACACTTTTTCATAGGAACGATTTGGTATATATTGTGCCTCACTCCTAAATAACATTCATCTTGATGATTGCTAAATTTCTTTGAATCACATCTTCTTCCTCTTTTAAAAGTATGCACATCTGTAATTTCCCGGTCAGGCCCAAAGCATTTCTAATTGTGGTTTTAGTGCTATTTTCATCTTTCTATTAATTTCTACATAGCATTTTATCATTTTATTAATTTTACCATAATATTCTAATTAAGCATTTATTAAGGCAACATCAATAAGTAAGTTAGATGTTGAGAGTAATGGAACAAAAAGTTCCATTTTCCCTTACTTTGGTTTCTTTTATTAGTAGCATTCTTTTCCAGTTTGTTTTTGTGCTGTAATTGTCCAAAAAACTGTAAAAATTTTATAGTCTACCCAGTCATCAAAAATTGCAACATAATCAATGTGTCTTTAGTGTCCCCACTTCCTTTTACCTCCTCTCATCTTGTTCTCACCTACAACTAACTAACTCATGTTTTTCTGACTTGACTATTAAGAAAGGAAACCTGAAAAACTTATTTGCCACAAAGATCTTAAAATTCAGTGTGTTGAGGTTCTGGCTCCAACAATGATGGAGTGAATTGTATTGGACTAAGTAACCTGCCTGCTGGTAACTAGTGTAAACTTGGGACAGAATATTTTTAAAAATTAACTGTTTGAAGGCACTGGAGAGCAACAAAAAGCAGGCAGAAACCAGAAGAGATTTGACTGTTGAAAGAAGAGAACCACTCTTAATAAATTCCACATTTATAGAGCTGTTGTCCAGAGTGCATCCCAGTCGATGTGACAGTAGAGTGGTTAGAGGTCAAGTAGATAGGTGCAGTCTTACTGATGCAAGGAATTGGAGAGTAAAGTTTGGGGTTGTAAGAATGCCTGGAAATTGAGGGAAGAAATCCAGAAAGGAGAGAGCCACAAAGGGGGAAATTCCAAAATCCATAAAGTCTCTCAAATCTTATCTGATGCCTGAACTGGGCATGCGCAAAGTGAAATTCCAAGAGGCCATGGGGGAAACAATAGCCATTAGGCTAAGAAGCAGAACAGAAATTTCAGCAGCTGCCCACTAGAGTGTTTGAAATTTGAACCTCAACAGGTTAAAAGTGCTTGGGTAAACACCTTGGGCTTTCCATTAAAATCTTGCAGGGCCACACATTCTAGGACCACTGAAATTCACCCTAGGCCTAAAGCTAAACTGAAATAAACCCACCCTAATAAAAGCTAACAGAATGCCCTCACAAGACCAAAGTGATCCAGCAGTAATTTGATGCCTGCTAGAACAAAATGCAACACTTCCAGAGGAAGAGAAGAGAATCCAGAGTCTATATGATACCATCCTCAGTGTCCAGTATGCAGTAATAAATTACTAGACATGGTATGAAACTGACACTGTGACCCACAGTTAATGGAAAAATCAGTCAATAGAGATCTGGAGGTGGACCCAGTGTTAACAATTAGCAAGAACAACTTTAAAAATAATTATTATAAATATGTTAAAGAATCTATAAGAAAAGATTGGTGAAGACAAGGGAAATTTCAGGAGAGATATGGAAACTTAAAAAAAAATTGAAATACTAAAACTGAAAAATAGAATATCTGAGTTAAATTCACTGGATAGGATTGATAGTAGATGAGTAGACTGGATACAACTGAATAAAAGTCAGTGAACATTTGGAGACTAAAGAAATTTTACAAACCAAAAACCTGAGACAAAAGATTGGAAACAAAGTGAACATAACTTCCGTGACTTGTGGGACAGTATTAAACGGACTAACAAATAGCTAATTGAGCTCGAAAAGAAGAGAGAATGAGGCATAAAGAATGTTTGAAAAAAATATTGGCCAAAAAATTTCCACAATTAAGAAGAGCAACCCACAGATCAAGGAGGCTCAGTGAGCTCGAAACAAAATAAATACAAGGAAAACCATACTTAGACATCATAGTCAAACTGCTAAAAACCAAAGCAAAGAAAACTCTTCAAAAGAAGCCAGAGAAAGAAGATCCATTAGATTCAGGAGACCAATGATCAAAATGACAGCAGACTTTTCAGAAGCAGTGGAGTCCCGAAGACAATGGAATGACATTTTTAAAGTATTGAATGGAAAAAAATATGTGTCAACTTATTCTCTATCCAGCAAAAAAACATTTCAAAAATGAAGATGAAATAAAGATATTTTCAGATAAATGGAAGCTCAAAGAATTGGTCATTAGCAGACCTGCACTAGGAGAAATGCTAAAGGAAATTCTTCAGACTGAATAGAAATGCTATCAGTTTGAAATTCAGCTATAAAAGAAACTGAATGAAGGAGGGAAGAGCACTGAAAATATACATCAGTAAATGTAAAAGACTTTTTTCTTTAATCTTTTAAAAGTTAATTGACATTTTATAGCAAAAGTAATATATTATTGGATTTATAACATAGCAGTAAAATATGACTGTAGCACAAAGGATAGGAGAAGGGGTAAATGAAATCAGTACTGTATTACAGTTCTTACATATATTCAAAGTAGAGTCTGCTAAGCTAAGAAACGTATTGGAATCTTTGGAGATCAAATTTAAAAATATAGCGTGATATAGCTAAAAAGTAGGTAAAAGAGATAGAATGGAATATTAAAGCATATTCTTTAACCCAAAAGGATACAGGAAAGGCAGGACAGAGAGGACAAATGTAAAACAAATAGCAATATGGTTGACCTAAACCTAAGTATTTTAATAATTATATTAAGTGCAAGTGGACTGAATACTCAATAGGCAGATTGTCAGACTGTAAAAAAAAAAGTGAAACTCAACTATACGATGTCTACAAGAGACACTTTAAAAATGACACAAGCTAGTTAAAGGAAGGAAAAAGATATATCATGAAAACACTAAACATAAGAAAGCTAGTGTGGCTATGTTAGTATTTGACAAAGTAAACCTCAAGAAAGTATTACCAGTGATTTTAAAAAGTGTCATTTCTTAATGATAAAAGGGTGAATTTATCTAAAAGACATAATGATCCTAAATGTGTATATAGCTAATAACAGTTCTGTCAAATTTTGCTTCATGAATTTTGAAGCTCTAAAGAGAGACGTAGACAAATACAGTCATAGTTTGATATTTTAATATTCCTTTTTCAGTAATTAATAAAACAAGTACACATGTTAGTAACAATGTACAGGAGTTGAATAAAACTACCAACCTAATTGACCTGATTGATATTTACAGAACATTACATTTAGCAATTGCAGAATAAATGATCAAGTCCACATTGAACAAAATAGACTATTTAAAAAGTCTCCATATATTTCAAAGGATTGCGATCGTATAGAACACGTTCTATGACCATAATGGTTAAATTAGACTAATAACAATAAGATATCAACAAAATAATCAAATATTTGGAAATTAAGCAATGCATTTCTTTTTATTTTTTTTAAAGATTTTATTTATTTATTTTTTTCCCCCCAAAGCCCCAGTAGATAGTTGTATGTCATAGATGCACATCCTTCTAGTTGCTGTATGTGGGACTCGGCCTCAGCATGGCCGGAGAAGCGGTGCATCGGTGCGCGCCCGGGATCCGAACCTGGGCCGCCAGCAGCGGAGCGCGCGCGCTTAACCGCTAAGCCACGGGGCCGGCCCAAGCAATGCATTTCTAAGTAACTCATGGATTGAAAGAATATTAGAAAATATTTGATACTGAATGATGAAAGCACAGCATGTCAGATTTGTGGGATGCAGTTAAATCAGTGCTTAAATGAAAATAAATAGCTTTAAGTGCTTATATTACCAATAGAAAAAGGAAAGAAGAAACAAACAAGTAAAATCAGCAATCTTTGTACCTACCTTAAGAAGCTAGAAAAAGAATGGCGAATAAAACCTAGAGCAATTAGCTGGAAGGAAATAATAAAGTGTGCCGATATCAATGAAATAGAAAATGGGGGGGAATAGAAAAAGTAAACAAAGCCAAAAGTAATTTCTTTGAAAAGATTAATAAAAATGGGTTAACCTCTAGGCGGTCTAAACCAGAAATAAAGACAAAATAGTACAGCAAGGCACATTTCCAATGTTGGAAATGATGCAGAGAACGTTACTACAGTAAAAAGGTAAGTAAGGGAATATTATGAACAACTTGATGATGGTAATTTGGTCATTTGGATGAAATGAACAGATTCCTTGAAAATTATACTTAAGAAACTACCCTAATCTAATTTTAATTTTAACCTTATGCCACTAAATCTGAATAGCCCTATATCTATTAAATTGTTTCAAAATTTAAAATCTTCCAATTAAGTACCAGGCCCAAATGGCTTCACTAGTAAATTCCTTCAAATACGTAAGGAAGAAATATTCCAATCTTACACAAACTCTTTAGAATGTAGAGGAGATGGGAATACTTTACTTCCCAACTCATTATATAAGGCCAGCACAACTTAGATGCCAAAATCTAACAAAGACAATACAAGAAAAAATTGCAAGCCAAATATCACTATATGAGTAGAGGCATAAAATTCCTTTAAAAAGTTAGTAAATAAAATCTAGCAGAATATAGAAAGACCATCGTTGTCAAATGGCCTTTATCCAGGGTTGCAAGGCTGTTTAACATTTGAAAATCAGCCAGTATAATTCATCATATTAAAAGAATAAGGAAGAAAATGACATAATTATCCCAGTAGATGCAGAAATACATATCACAAAATTCAACACCTATTTGTGATTTTTAAAAAGTCACTTAGCAAACTAATTATAGAATGGTATGAAAAAGCTTTACAGCTAAAATCATACTTAATAGTGAAATAGTGAATGCTTTTCTCCCAATATTGGGGACAAAGTGCAAGTATATCTCCTCACAACTTTGATTCAACATTGTACAGGAGGTCCTAGCCAGTGCAGAAAGGCAAAACAAACAGAAAAAACAAACAAAAATCCAAAGGCTATAAAAGACGTAAAGTGTGGAAAGGAAGAAATGAAACTGCTTTTATTTGCAGACAGTAAGATTTTGTCTATAGAAAATCCTAAGGGGTCTACAAAAAAAACCCCAGTAGAACTAATAAGTGAATTCAGTCATGCGCTGCATAATGATGTTTCAATGACGGAGCACATATACGACAATGGTCCTGTAAGATTAGTACCGTACAGTCTACGTGTGTAGTAAGCTATACCATCTAGGTTTGTGTAAGTACACACTATGATGTTCGTACAACGATGAAATCGCCTGATGACACATTTCTCAGAACATATATCTCTCATTAAGTGATACATGACTGTATAACAAAGTCATAGAATATATGTCCAATATACAGAAGTTGGTTGTTTTTCTATATACTAAAACAATTGAAAAATGAAATTAAAAATATTTTTTACCGTGGCTTCAGAAATAAAATATTTAGGAATAAATTTAATGAAAAATGTGCAAAACCTCTGCACTGAAGACTATAAAACAATGCAGAGAGAAATTTTAGAATAAGTAAATGTAGAGAGAGAACATGGTAATGAATTGTAACTCTCCATATTGTTAAGCTGTCGTTTCCCCCAAACTGATAGGTAGATTCACTACAATGCCGATCATAACTCCAGCTGACCTAAAGAAAAATACAAATGGTTAAGCCGATTTTAAAGTTATATGGAAAAGCAAAAGACCTAGACGAGCGTGAACGTTTTTGTAGTTACAGCATGGATGAATCTTGAAAACATTATGCTAAGTGAAAGAAACCAATCACAAAAGATCGCATACTGGATGATTCCATTTACGTGAAAGAAGAAGCAGAATGGGTAAATCCATAGAGACAGAAAGTAAATGAGTGACTGCCAGGGCTGGAGGAAGGAGTGAGCAGGGGGTGACTGCTAATGGATGTGGGGTTTCCTTTTGGGGTGATGAAAATCCTTTGGAATTACATAGTGGTGATGATTGCACAACTCCGTGACAGATTTATCTTAAAATCCACTGAATTGCACCCTTCAAAATGGTGCATTTTATGGTGTGGGAATTATGTATCTCAATAAAATAAAATTAATGGACTTACACTGATTTTAAGACTTAGAAAAATTTCAAGTTATACTTATCAAGACAATGTGGTATTGGCATAAGGATAGAAAAATGGGTCAATGTATCACAATAGAGTCCAGAAATAAATCCACACATATATGGTCAATTGATTTTTGACAAAGGCACCAAGGCTTTATATTAGGGAAGGATAATATTTCAACAAATAGTGCCGGAACAGCTGGATAAACACAAGGGAAAAGAATCACCTAGACTCCTGCGTACATCACACTGTAATTAATTCAAGATGGATCCCAGAACTAGATGTAAAAGCTTAAACTATAGCTCTTCTAGAAGAAAACAGGAACATATATCATGTCCTTGGGTTAGGCAGTTTCTTAGGACACAAAAAGCAGTAACTAAAATTAAAAAGTTGGTAGATTGGACTTCACCAAAATTAAAAACTTATGCTCATCAAGAAAAACTTAAAAGGAAAAGGCCATCTGTAGACTGGGATAAAATATTCTCAATATGTATATCTGACAAAGGGCTTGTATCCAGAATATAAGTAGAATTCCTATAAAACAATAAAAGATAACTCAATTTGTAAAAAATGGATAGAATACTTGAATAGATGTTTCACTAAAGAAGACAAAGGAGAGCCAGCCCTGATGGCCTAGTGGTTAAACTTCGGCGCTCACTGCTTTGGCAGCCCAGGTTCGCTTCCTGGTTGCAGAACCACATCACCTGTCTGTCAGTTGCCATGCTGTGGTGGTGGCTCATGTAGAACTAGAACAACTTACAACTAGGATATACAACCATGCGCTGGGGCTTTGGGGAGGGAAAAAAAAAAAAAAAAGGAAGATTGGCAACAGATGTTAGCTCAGGGCAAGTCTTTCCCTGCAAAAAAATAAAACAGACAAAGGAATGGCCAGTAAGTTCATGAAAAGGTGCTTGATATAATTGGTCATCAGGGAAACACAAATTAAAACCATAATGAGATACCACTACATATTCACTAGAATGGTTAAAATTAAAGACTGACAACATGAAGTGTTGGAGAGGATATGGTTCAGCTGGATGGCTCATACACTACTGGAAGGAATGTAAAGTAGTCAGACTTCTTTAGAAAGCAATTTGACAGTTTCTTAAAAGGTTAAATATAACACCTACCATACAACCTACCATGGTTGTACTTCCCCGGGAGAAATGAAAGCAGATGTTCACAGAAAGACATTAATTTACACTCTTATTTACGGCAGCTTTATTCTTAGTAGTCCAAAACTGGAAATAAGCCCAATGTCCATGGACAGGTGAATGGATAACGTAATTGTGGTATCCCCATACTGTGGAATACTGCTCAGTAATCAAAAATAACCAACCCTCTACACATAAATCTCAAAACCTTTATGTTAAGTGAAAGTAGCCAAGTCTAAAAGAATATAGAGTCCATAGGTTATACTTCTATATATGAAGTTCTAGAACAGGCAAAACTAAGCTTTGGTGATTATGTAAATTAGAACAATGGTTGATCTGGTGGGACTGGGATTGACTGGAAAGGGATTTAACGAACCCTCCGTGATGATGGAAATATTAAATGTCTTGATTGGGATGGTAATTACACAAGTGTATATGTTTGTAAAATCTCTTCAGACTGTACATTTAAAATTTATGTATTTTTTTATATATGCTATACCTCAATTTTTAAAAATAAGTGTATTGCCCCTTTTGAGAAAATAGATCTCAAATGTTGGGATTTCAAAAAAATGGGAAACGTTTTTAGATTGAAGAACCTCATTTTCGTTCATTATATCAATTTATGCTGTTGATCTCATCATAATGTACCAATTGTCCTACTAGTTTATGGAGAAGCACTATTTGCAAATTCTTGCAATAAGGAGTGAGTACTCACTGGGCGTAGATTGTGTGTCAGGCACCTTATATATGCCACCTTGATTAGCGCTCATCTGAATTCGACGAGGTAGACATTATTATTCCATTTTATAGCTGGGGACGCTGAGTCACAGGTAGTCGCTTTGCCCAGGGTTGCACAGGTAGAGGCAGATTCCACGTGAGGCAGCCTAGTTCCAGGTCTACTGAAACTGCTGACATAACCAAGAGCCCTGGTCGGATATAAAGAAAACCTTTTTCTTCCCTGTTTTGTTTGTACCATAAGCACATTCCAACAATTTATACATCAGAGAAGTAAACGGATAGCCAAAGGTGTTTTATTCTTGAGTATGTACTGCAAATCCTATAGATTTTTAAATCCATAAACTTTAAAATGTATTGAAAATATCTAAGGTGATATATGTGTGTTTGCTTGCTTATTTAAACCCTTCTAAAATTCAGACTGCTAATTCAAGTTGTTAACTTGAAACCCTGGTAGTTATTGCAAACAGTTGTCAAATCGATTAACTTTTTCCACGTCTCCTACGTTTCCAAGTGGTATGTTAGAGCCAGCAACCTGCCCAAAGCTTCCACTATCAACTCTGCTTTAAAAAAATATATAATATTTTTCCTTACTGGGTTATTAAATGTGAGGTTATAAAGGCAAATACTATTATTTTATGTATTCATATATATATCAGTGTAATGTTTCTCATTATAGCTGAAGGAGTAAAATTAAGAGTCTCAAAAACAGTTTCCAATGGAACAGCTAAACCGTCTACATCTGAAAATTTTGTGAGTACAGTTTATATTTAATAGAATCGCAGTCTTTAATACTTTAGAAATCTATGTGAGTGTCACATTCATACCATCGAGACCATTTTTTTACTAGGATTTTTTGTATGAAAATAAGTGTTAGCAAGTAGCGATACTGGTTAAGTCTGAGCGCGGTAACTTGTAGACTCTCGCTTCTCCAGTGCTGTTCTTGGACCAGCAACATGAACATCGCCTGGAAACTTGTTAGAGATGCAGAATCTCAGTCCTACCCCAGACCTTCTGAATCCTAATCTGCTTTTTAGCAGGATTCCATTGATGATTCATATACACATTAAAGATTGAGAAGCTCTGTTATAGTAAAAGCTTGTGTTAACTTTTCAGCATTTTAAGGTGATTTTTGCAGCCGTTTCCGATAACATTTGTTAACTGTTAGGAAAAAGACTTTATGTATTACCTATGCAGTTAATTAGCATTTTTTCAACTATGGAAGCTTAAATAAAATGGTAAAATAGAGGATAGAGATGAGGTTTTAAATATTTTATGCATATAATTTATGCATAAAAGTGATAATTATGAAAGTAATTAATGAAAATGGAAATTCCTGTCATACAGTTTTATATTCTGCTTTTTTACAGTTATGTATATAGTGATTAATACTATGTAAAAATTTATGTATCCATATAAGTTCTGACAGGACCAATCATACAGGAGAACAGTTTTATCTGTTGGATTTGGTAAATTCTCTGATTTGTATTTTTGGTAACGTAATAATTCTTTAAAATATGTTCTTTGAGTAGTTTTATGGTAATTTAACTAAACTTTAAACAACGACAGTAGTTTTAATTATGTGGTGTTAAGGCTGTTAAACTTTCATTTTTTAAAGATATTTCTTCTTATTTTAGGGGTTTGTCTCAGTTCATTTTAAAGCTCAGTATTTGCAAACACATCAAGGAAATACTTTTTCATTCCTCTAAGTTCAGTTCAGTCAGCTCTTGATCAGAAGTTGGGGGCCTTGCCTCTTGTTGACTTATTTCTACTTGAGACTCACTCAGAGAATCGGGGTTCCTATTGAGGCTGGCTCAGTTTCTCTCTCTCTCTCTCTCTAGGTGAGCAAGATATAATTAATACTAGAACCAGAGTATTCCATGTTGCTGGGTAGACCACAAAGAAACATTGTGATTTATTTTACATTGCACACCAAAATATTCCATATACCTTTTACTATTTTCCTTTCTCCCAGTGAGATAACTATAAGCAAGTTTCTGTTAAAAAAAAAATTTTAGATACCTCATATTACCTGCTTTTCTTTTCTTGTCTCCTGCTGAAAGATGAGCATAAATACCAGTGATAGAAATAAAAAGGCTTTTGAAAATTTAGAATATTTGTATCATCTTTTTCTGTTGAAAAATTATAAATTCATGATATAAAAACTTGAACAGGGGCTGGCCCAGTGGCCTAGTGGTTAAGTCCGCATGCTCTGCTTTGGTGGCCTGGGGTTCGTGGGTTCGGACCCCGGGCGCGGAACTATGTACCGCTCATCAAGCCGTGGGTGGCAGCATCCCACATACAAAATAGAGGAAGATGGGTATGAATGTTAGCTCAGGGACCATCTTCCTCAAGCAAAAAGAGGAAGATTGGCAACAGTCGTTAACTCAGGGCCAATTTTCCTCACCAAAAAACAAAACAAAACAAAACAAAAACCCAAAAAACTTGAACAAATTAGGAGACATAATGAATGCTGGGAGCAAAAAATCAATACAAATCAATATTCTTGCTATTTTCTATCATATAAATCCACTCGTATTTTTACTATGGCTTTTCAGGGCAAAAACTAACACCTGTACATCTAACTAAAACTAGGAAGTACAAACATCTGAAATCCAAATTTTTGTTTGTTTGCCTATTTAAGAAAATGCTAACATAATTTCTGTATGGCATAAGTGCTAACTTCTTAGGACCTATGTGGAAATAAAAAGAATATCCTGCATTTGAGTTTAAATACTTAAGTTTTATATACATTCTATTTAAAAATTCTGCTTTCTGGTGCAAATAAGCAAATGCTAATATATAAATATTTATTTCGACAGGATGAAGATTTGAAGTGGGTGGAAGAAAATATTCCCTCTTCATTCACAGATGTGTAAATATCCTCGGTTAAAAGCTTGAGTCTGAAATTTAGACTGTGGTATAAAGGGATAATTTGCTTACTTTGTCCTGTCCTTTTCAAACCTCACACCTCCATGTGTTTCTGGAGGCCCCCGTCACCAGTGAATGACTGATTTACTTCGTACTGAACTGCAAAGAGAACAGCCCTGCCTTCCTCTCTCTTTCTCCTCCTTTTTTTGCTGTACAACAACTATTTTAATGCTTGTGCCCTAAAACCAACTCCAGCCTTTTCTGATCTAAGGTTACCAGGGTCAGAAGCGTTTCATTTTGTTCTAACTTTCTATTGTGGAGAAGTTCAAACATGTGTAAAACGTTTTTTTTTTTTTTCACACACACGTAATCACAATACCATGTATGGTGGGGAAGCTATTGGAGGGAAAACATGAGCATAGGAAAAATAGGGTGCAGAGGGAGCCCTTCCAGGAGCTTTGAGCTATTCGGGTTCCTCTTGATCTGTGTTCTGTTTGACACAAGAATTCCGGATAGCTGCTTCCACAGTAGAAAACAGTCAGAACAGCCAGATAGATAACATTTCCACGTAGTCTTTCCTTTCTCTGTTCTGATCTAGTTCCCGTTTAGATAGTTCCTGTCTAGCATGGTATTCCTTCTGCCTGAAGAATTTCCTTTACATTTCTGGTAGCGCAGGTATGCTCATAAGGAATCTCTAAGGTTTTGTTTGTCTGAAAAGTCTTTGTTTCAGCGTTTTTGAAAGGTGCTTTTGTTGGTTATAGACAGTTTTTTCTTTCAACACTTCAAAGAATGTCGCTTGACTGTCTTCCAGCTTTCATGGTTTCAGAAAGAAGGTTATCAGGATCAGTTCTTTTGTTTGTTCTTCCGTGTGTTATGTGGGTTTTGTTTTATCTTTTTATTTTGGCTGCCTTCAGGGTTTGCTCTTTATCTTTGGTTTTAATTACTATGCATATGATGATTCTAGACGTGTGTGGACATATCTTCTCATTTTTCTTGGGTATTTACCTAGAAATGGAATTGCTGGATCATATGGTAACTCTATGTTTAACATTTTGAGGAAGTGCCAAGATGTCTCCCAAAGCCGCTGCACCATTTTGCAGTTGTATCAGCAATGTGTGAGGCTTCCGATTTCTCTTTGTCCTTGCCAGCATTGTTTTACTCACCTTTTTGATGTTAGCTCTTAGTAGCTGTGAAGTGGTATCTCATTGTGCTTTTGAGTAGCTGCAGTTTGAATTGTCTTGTTGAGGGACTGGTATAATTTAACTAAACTATAGTAACTGAGGTTCATGCATGTCAGATTTGTACAAAGTGAGGACTGCTTATACATTATGAAACCGACAATAGACTATTACACTTTCTTAATAGGCAGAAAAGAAAAATAGGTGTGTGTATATATATATATATATATATCCTTTTATATTTACCTGTGCATTTACTATTTCTTCTTTCCTTCCTGTATGTCTGAGGTGTGACCTTTTCCTGTAGGTCTTTCTTTAGTATTTCTTGCAGTATAGGTCTGCTAGCAACAAATTTTCTCAATTTTATTTATACGAAAATGTATTTGTTTGCCTTCCTTCTTGAAGGATAGTTTTGCTGGATGTAGAAATCTTGATTTTTGTTTGAGCACTTTTGACGTGTCCTTGCAGTATCTTCTGGTTTCTGTTGCTTTTGAAGAGAAGTCAGTCATTAGTTGTGTTGTTCTCATGTGTGTAATGTGTCATTTATTTTTTGCTGCTTTTCAGATTTTTCCATTATATTTGGTTTGTGTAGGTGTGGCTTTTTTTTTATATATTCTTCTGGGGATCTGTTGAGCTACTTGGATCCACATCCTCACTCCCCTTGGTCATTTCAACTACTTATTTTTAATTTTTTTTTTATTGATGTCTTAATAGTTTATAACATTGTGAAATTTCAGTTGTACCTTATTGTTTGTCAATCACCATATACATGTCTCCCTTCACCCCTTGTGCCCACCTCCCATCCCCATTGCCCCTGGTAACCACAATACAATTCTCTCTGACCATGTGTGGGTTTATATTCCACATATGAGTGAAATCATGCGGTGTTTGTCTTTCTCTTTCTGGCTTATTTCACTTAACATAATACCCTCCAGGCCCATCCATGTTGTTGCAAATGGGACAATTTTGTCTTTTTTAATGGCTGAGTAGTGTTCAATTGTATATATACACCACATCTTCTTTATCCAGTCATCAGTCGAGGGACACTTGGGTTGCTTCCACTTCTTGGCTATAGTGAATAATGTTGCAATGAACATAGGGGTGCATAAGCCTCTTTGGACTGTTTTCAGGTTCATTGGATAGATTCCCAGTAGTGGGATGGCTGGGTCATAGCGCATCTCTATTTTTAATTTTTTGAGGAATCTCCATACCGTTTTCCATAGAGGCTGCGCCAGTTTGCATTCCCACCAGCTGTGTATGAGGGTTCCTGTTTCACCACATCCTCTCCAACATTTGTTGTTTTTTGTCTTGGTGATTATAGCCATTCTGATGGGCATGAGGTGATATCTTAGTGTTGTTTTGATTTGCATTTCCCTGATGATTAGTGATGTTGAACATCTTTTCAT